CCCCTGAGCCTCTGGCCTGTACCCCAGTTCTGTATGCACAAATAAATAAATCTTAAAAACAAACAAACAAACAAAAAGCCATGACATTACTGTGGGCTAAGGCTTGTGGAAGCCCTAAGCCTCTCTATCAAACCTGTTAACATCACAAGGTTACTAGTGACCTGCAAAGCCTTCTTGTCTTGTCCTTGCTTTTTGCTCAGCTAGAAAGATAAGAGGAACAGTAATACCTGATCCACTGTATGCTTTCAAGGGGTTGCTGGTGGCAGAAAGTTTAAGAGGGACTTATGTTATGCATGGATGGAAATGAGTTTGAATTGTTTCTCCTAGAGCAATCATCCTGTTTTGTGAGGTTATACTGCCACACATAATAGATAAAAATGCCTGCTCCTTCTGCTTCTTCCCAGGTTCCTAGATAGAACAGAAGAGCTTGCGGTAAGTGTGGCCTTTGTTTCAGTTGGGGAACTATTTTACAGAAATCTGAGCCAAAACCCAATATTTGAGATCCCAGACTGACTAAACTATTTCCTTTCCTTGAGTATGTATTATATATAAAGGAGAGAGGCATCTGGGAAGCCTGAAACTATAATATAAATGATGTCCTGTTTTCTTTCTTTCTATAGCTCTATTGGTTGGGTTTATGACTAAATACCTTTTTGAATAAAGTGTGTGAAAATCGGCCTGGTCCTATTTATAATTTGTTTTTTAACTTCTAGCTCTTTTACAACCCCAGATTGTAAGTTGTTGTTATTGTTGTTTTTTGATTTGGAAAGAACTGCTGGGAACACAAGAATAAATCTGAAATTTTACCAGAAGTTTAGTAGTAGTGTAAAAACTTAAGTAATGCATTTTGCAAAGCTTGACAGTATAGTGCAGAGGTAAGACTTTCTCAGGCCTCGTGGCAGATTGGTTTTGCCAGTGACTGCACTGCCCATTGTGGTGATATGGGCACTCAGCCGGCTGGCACGGGTAATAATGCTGTTAGCCTTCTGTGCACAGCAAAATGTAATTCAGGAGCAGGCTTTTCAGTAGCATTGGATATAAAGGAACTTGTAAGGGATAGGGAAATCTCAAAAATCCTTTATCTCAATCTTTTGAAACAATTTACAATCTACAGTAATTATTTTGAAAATCTTTTTGTTTTCATTTTAATCTCTTACCAGTTTGATCATGTAACGAACTTTTTCTTTCAATTACATGTGGGCACTATAGTGCTTGAATGTGAATATTTAACTTTCAGTTGTGAATCAGCATGATGTACCCCACTCATATTACTAGCATGGTTAACTGTTAGACAGTTGTGTGTTCATGACACCATTGATCATATACAGGGTCAAGGATTTAAAAAATAACATTAGTAGGCATTGAGCTCTTAAGCCTTTCAAGCACTAGGACTGAAAACTGGTTTTGCTTTAATACTAAAGTATTAAAACCAAGTTTAAGAGCAAAGGTGCTGTTCTACCTACTTAGTGCTTCAGTATGGGTCAGCATTGTCCAGTAGAACTTCCACAGTGATGGAAATATTCTGTAACTGTGCTGTTCGATATGGTAGCCGTTAGTCACACGGTATTGCTGAGCACTTCAAACATAACTAGTGCCGGACCCCTCCAGTGGCACAGTGGGTTAGGACACAGCACTGCAAACGAGCCGCAGCCGCTTCTGTGTCAGTTTGATCCCCAGCCCCAGAGGTGACCCACATGGTGCAGCAGACCTTTCCTCTCTCACCCGCTGTTTCCCTCAGCAGTGTACTTCGTTGATCCACCTTTTTCTGTCCCTGGTGAATCTTCTCACTGCCTCTGCACCCCTGGCCTGTACTCCAGTTCTATATGCATAAATAAATCTAAAAAAAAAAA